ACGGATCCGGTATACTATTGGGTCGCTAACCTGGTCGAGCAGCAACTAGCAAGCTTGGTGCGAATGGCAATCAAAGATGTGAAGCGAGGTTTGAAGTAGCGCATCGGGAGGAAAAGTCTGGATGTATCGTGCACACACAACATTCCTATTAATTTATAATGACTACTCTCTATTATTTTGATAGTTATTAATATTGCCAAAAAGGTATTGCTATTTTATGTCATTAAACTGTATGTAAAGTATTAATTATGTATCAAACATATGATGAATCGGTTAGCAACACAAGAGGGGCGTGAATTGTGTGTGTGGAACCGTGACAGTTTTTCGCCAAGTTCTAGTGTGGGGTAAAGGGAAATGCGAAATAGTAAAGTGCACAAGGATTTAACGAGGAAAAATCCCTTGTCTCAAAGGGATTAAAAAACCTCGACCTCCCTCGGAGGAATTTTAACAACTTCACTAAAAAGTCTTTGAATGATTACAAGGGAATCTCTTCTATTCTACCCTTGAGTCACCCCAACTTTATCCTCTCTAGGAAGAGTTATGCATCTCTACCTTGCGGGTAGAGAGACTCTCAGCTTTAAAACAAAGCTCTCACTCACACAACCAACCCGAGGTGGCTACACTTAGCCAATTCCTCAAAAACCCAATTACAATATAAGGGAAAAAGAGCTCTATCTACAACTCCGTAAACAAATTCAGGTGTCCTGGACTTTAGTAAATTTTTTCATGAATATCTCTCAGCAATAGCTCGGCCGAGCACACACTTTCTTCCCTTGATCTATCGGCCTATATAGCTGTCTTGAGGCAGACCGTTGAGCATCCTTTCTTGAATAGTTAATCTTGGGACTTGCCTAGATATTTTGAATCACTTTCCTTCTATGGACTCAGATCATATCACAGGGATATTTTCTCAAAAATAAATATCCGCCCGTATGGAGAAGAATATTTTATTCACTTAGCATGTATAGGCTAGCAACCAGGAATTAATATTCGTATATAGAAGGATAATTCATTTATTTATCATGCATAATCTAGCGCTGAATTATAATCAAGCAGCCCTTAAAACCATATATCAAGAGATTGGATAGTTCACTTAGCAAATATAAATATGCATGGCACGGTCAACTTTCAAATATGCAATCATTCATTTGTAGGTCAGGAATTTTTTCTGAAAACGTTCATTTAATATTTCGCCTAAGGAAATATTAAATGCTATGATCAGCTTTTATATTGATGGCAAAGTATTCATTTTAGGGGTGGGCAAACGGGTCTTGGAATCGCGGTCCGGTCCGGGTAATGGCAGTTCGGGTTCAAAACGGGTCGGTTCCATTTTTTGTTTCCATAAAACGGTCCAGGTAGGTCCAGGTAATTTTTTTAAGACCCAGGCCGGTTCTAAAAATAAAAAAATACCGGGTACCCGGCCCGGCCCGTTATATATATTGTATATTAATTTATTAATAGTTTTTTGATAATCGGTTTTGAAATAGTTTTGTTTTCCTTTGCTAGAAGTAGTATTTTAAATTCAGTTGTAGTAACATCATGTTGCTTTCAAATTATTGATTAAATTTTACATAAATTTCTTATTACTTTTAATTGCTATTGAATTATTTCTTTCTATGGAATTTAATTATTTGTTAAAAATGATTTTGTAATATTTGTTTTTATAATATTGTTCTTAAAATATATAAATTGTGATTACCACCCCCATGTATGTGTCAACTTTGGCTAATCCTAAAAATTTAATAAAAAAACACAATCACTTTAATATGTGATGAGACAACATTTTTAAATTCAAATGTTAGAAAATATGTATTTTGGCTATGTTGCTGATTTTTGAAACTTCTTTAAGTGTTTGGAACTTATATACATGAAATTATGGAGTATAGGACTTGTCACTTGTGTTACATGTGCACCACTAGCTATGTTGTTATTTTGAAACTTGCTAATGTACTATATTATTGATTATTGTTTTTTGGAACTTTGTGAGTTTTTACTAATTTTAAAACATGAGAATAGAAATCGTAAAACCCGGACTGTATCGACCCGTTTCAAACGGGCCGGGTAAGGTCTGGTTCCTATTTTGAAAATTGATATACCCGGACCGGACAGGACCGTACAATGGAACCGGCGGTTCCATTTTATTTTGCATTACCTGCCCTGACCCGGCCCGTGCCCAACCCTAATTCATTTAGCACATGTAAGTATAGCAAGTAAATATCCCTACCATAAAATAAAGTCAACTTATTTAATGAGTGTCCAAACATGCATGGAAGCAGATTTAAATTGTCCCACGTATATTTAGAGTATCATGCATGCATATATCAATTAATTCATCACAACTTAGACACTGAGATCCAATCACATATTTAATCATTATGTGAGGTAATGGTTCATATAGAACCTAGAATGGTTATGTCCACCATTCATAGAAGAAATTGAGTCACATTCGCGACCAAATAAAGGGATGTTTTAACAATTTAAATGATACCATAATGGGTCTAAGTGCTAGATCCGTGAATGGGAAACTAGTCTCAGGAAAGATTTATGAATTATTGAGAACTAAAGGGACGGTTCGAGCTTGGATGAGTTTTGCTTGGAAGTCTTATATTCCTCCCAAATTCTCATTTAACTTTTGGCTTGCTTTGCGTAACCGGTTACCTACACAGGATAAACTTGGTTATTTGCATATGGTTAACCGGTGTGACCTTTGCAAGAGTGGCTTGGAAACAATGCCACACCTATTTTTTCTTTGTCCTTACACGTGTAGGGTATGGGAAAAAATAAAGAATTGGTTGGGCTTAACAAGGGAGATGACCACTCTAAGCAGCTCGGTCAAATGGATTTTAAAGGACCATAAAGGCTCGAAGATCAAAGGGAAAGCTGTCCGGATTGCCTTCTGCGCCGCGGTTTACTACCTATGGCACGCTAGGAATGCCAACAGATTTGATGAAGGGGACGTTAAGGAAGATGAGGTCATCGCAAAAATTAAGCATGTGGTATATAAAATACTTTTCAATATATACCCACATGACTTGATTACCTTTTGAGTTGAAGGCCGTAGCATGGATATTATGGATGCCGCGGTTTGGACAGACTGCTACATGAGTGTTTTTGGATGCCGAGGCATGGATATATTGGATGCCGAGGCCTGGACGGCTTTGGTCACTGTGGCATGGGCATCGTGGATACCGCGACATTAAGTAGGGTCTTGGATTTTAGGGTGTTTGCATCTTGCAACACCTTTGTATTCTGTTTTTGATTTTATGATTTGTGTGTGCGCTTTGGCAGCACCGATGTATTTTTGAACCTCTACTTGGTGATTTTTTGGCATAGAGTAGATCAAAAAAAAAAAACTCCTTTCACCCTCACATTAGGAGATCTAGTTTATGTGATGTATAGTTTTCTGGGTGTTAATATATATTTACATTTCATCCACAAAAAAAAAAAAAAACTCGCAGGAGTTCTAACTGCATGGTTAGTCAACGATAATGCACATGTGTTCACTTGAATCATTGATCAGTTCCATTCTTTGTTCGTGTATGGTTAGTCATCAACAAAACTAAATGTTGAAAAACATACATATACAACTATTTTTTTTAATTGTTTTATAAAAATTATGCTTATATATTGTGTATCAATCTATTTGACTATTTCCAAAGACATGTTGAACTTTGAGATAAAAGTTCATATTTTGGTAAATTATTCTTATGTTAAATATACATATTTTAGGATGTTTTTACTTGGACCTATAATTTGTTGGTCCGGTCTGGTCTGGTCTGCTTATGTCTGATCTGGTCTAGTCTATTTAAGTTTGGTCTGACTAGTCTAGTTTGGTAAGCGTCTGGTCTTTGTGTATTTTATAACTACGGAAGTCAAGTCTGGTCTGATCTAGCTAGTCTAGTCTGATAAAGTCTGGCCTGGTCTGATCTGCTATGTTTAAGTTTGGTCTGGTTTGATCTGGATCTGTTTAAGTCTAGTCTGGTCGTTGTACGTAATTATTTTTTATGGCCATTGAACGGGTTACACAGTTGACCGGATTGACCCATTCAAATTCGGGTTGACCTTTAATCCAATAATTTGTTTGGGTCAACATTCGGTCCGGTTCTTACGACAACACTCCGGTTGAATCCTACATGAGGTGATCTTCTCAACCCGGTTGGAATATATGTGAGACCGTTCCGTAATAAGTAATAACTAGAGGTGGGCACGGTCCAGTCCGGTCCAATATTTGGTCGAACTCGTACCCGTACCGTTACTATTGAAACGATTCGGTTCGGTCTTAGACCTAAACCTGTTTGGTACGGTCCATTTTCAAACGGGACGGTAGCATGCCATACCAATACCAAATAATGTCCTATTTCCAAGTGTTTAAGGAAAAATTAAAGTTTAGGCATCCTCCAAAAATCCACACAATTTAACAATTTTCATATTTCATACTACCTCCGTTCCAAAATGATTTGCAAAGTCAACCTTTTTTTAGTCAAATTGTTTCTTTTTATTCATTTAATTATATAAGATTTCAATTTTTAATTATATTCTAATTTGAACTTTCAGAAAAAAGTACTTCGTATATTCTAATTTGGATCTTGCAACTCTAAATATATTTTAGTGTGGTTTCTAAATATGTAAATTTTATTTATTAAAAATTGTACGGATTATTAATTATCATTAGGGAATAGGGAGGACTTAACACTAACATTGACAAAAAAATGTTGACTTTGCAAAACAATTTGGGACGGATGATGTAATTAATAAATTTTAGATAAACTCTAATACTACAAATTTAATCATTTAGTCATATTTCGGTCCGGTACCGATTCTCATTTTATGAGAACCCGTCATGACATTGTTTGGAACCAGTACGGTTCAGTTCAGGACAAAAAAATTTGAAAACTGTTTCAAATCCCATTTGTCGGTCCAGTACCATATCAGTCCAGTTTGGTACCAAGCTGGTTGAGTATTTTTACCCACTCCGTACGGGGCGGATGCTAGGAGGCAAGTAGGCAACCAACAAGGCGATTTATACAACCCCAACTAAGGACAGAATGGCGCAATTTATTGGAAGATCCTGGCTACAAAATGGCGGCACCGCAACTATGCAAAACCAAATCTCAACACCCGTCTTTTACTTGTATGTTCATTAACGAAACCCAATCTGCACAGCGTAGCTCTACGCATATAGCTGAGAAAAACAAAAGGAACGGACTTTGTCGAGAAATTGAAGGGCTGGTTGCAAAATGGGCAGCAGGGAAAGAGCTCAGAAATTTGTGAGTTTCAGTGAACAGGACGGCGATTCGTCGTATCTTGATTGCACTACAGAATCTATGCTTCACTGTCAGTTTCACTTTTCCTGTTCTGAAGCTGCGATTTCTGCTTCTGATGACGGCGCGAATGGAACTTCAGCAGTCCTTACTAGTACACGAATTCGATCTCCTTCGTACTCCTGCATATGTATGTCGTTATTAGAGTTCTGGGTTTTTAGGGCTGTTTTGATTTCATTTGGAATTTGCAGGAGGAAGATTCGGTTCCGGGAAAGCTGCGGTCTTTACAGCTTCTCAGAGGCAAGAACTGGAGAGGCAGACTTTAGTGTACAAATTCATAATCTCATTCGTTCCTGTTCCTCCACAGCTTCTTTTTCCTTTTCTGGGAACCCAATCCAACAGTAATATTCCTCAATTTCTTGAATTGTCACCCCCTCCAAAATATTAAAAAAAAGGGCATATCTCCTCTTTTTTGAAGGTTTTTTTGTTTTATTTCAAATGTAATCTTGATGGGTAGTTTATTCTACCAAAAGTTGCAAAAAGGGCTTATCTTGGTTTTATTTATTTATTCATTTTTTGGATGACAAAGCTGGATTGAATTTGAAGAATAAAGCCAGATTGGATCTGGAAGGGTGGAGGTGTAAGCGAACAGATGGTAAGAAATGGCGGTGCTCCAAGGATGCATTGCCCGATAAGAAATACTGCGAGCGACATGCTCATAAAAACCGACCCCGTTCAAGAAAGCATGTGGAAATCCAATCTCAAATCAGTTCTGGTAATCAGAAGACTAACACTACGCCTAATTGTCACTTTCATGTACCTCCTTCATCTGATCAAACCAGGTTAGTTAGTTAGTAAAATACAATTATGCTCATGAATTTCCTAGTCTACTTTAGTAGTTTAATGTGTTCTTTTGTGGTCATCCTTCAAAAAGATGGCTTTTTGCTCCTTTTTCACAATAAGCGTGACTTATCTAATTAGGTCGTTTGAGTGGTTGTCTAGAAGTGGTGGTAGTACATGCCCTTCATCTACACTGGGATTGAAGAGCGCACATAGATCTCATTATAATGATGAGCACAACATATTGACCTCAAATCAGAATCCCGATGGGGGTGGGCAAGAATTAAGTGACTTGTTTCGCTACCACAACATGGTATTTCCTCAAGGGCGTTTGAATACAAACCATGAGATAATCCAGCCAGTACAGCATTTCTTTGATGGTCAATCCATGGGAGAGAAAGGTAAGCTAGACCATGGAGTAGAATCTTGGAGTTCATCATCAATAATGCCTGGTGGGCCTTTGGGTGAAGCCTTGGGTCTTGGCACTTCCTCAAATTCGTCGTCACCTCTGTTGTCTTAGCAACATATATCGGTTTGGGTGAGGATGGTTGTTGTGCTCGCTTCGTTTATTTCATCTCACAAATGTGCTAGATGCAGGTTAAAATTCTTAGCCTTTGATTTTGTGAATTTAAAGTTGTGCAAATGTGAGTTTTTGTTTTCTCTTCGGTTCGAATGCGTTGTTCCCACTTCTTAGCACACTATGCTTGCATTTTTCCCATTTCTAGTACTCACATTTCCCTTTTACAATTAATGTGGCCTAATTCAAAGCAAATGCATATCTTTAGGTAAAATAATAAATTCGTACCAAATTATATAGTTGTATCCATTTAGTACCCAGCTCTTTAATTGTACTTCAATGGTATCCCAAATCCCAATTCAAGAAAAAAGTGACATTCTATGGTGTGTTAACTGACAAATTGGTCAATTTTGAATGTGGTTACAAATCACAACCATTCCAGTATAACACAAACATTTATTTCCACATTAGCCTTGAACAAATTTTGTTTCACGTGCCAATTAAGTGATGTAAATCAAACAGTTACTGTATCATCTGAACGTATTTTCCCAGTTCAACATGAAGTTAGAATTCACGAGTATTAGAAAAGATATGTTTTCCTCTTTAGGGTTAAAGTGGGAGAACAGAGCCCCTAAAGATTGTGATGGTCTGATGGATATACCTCACTTCTTTTCTGAAATCATTACCTTTGTATTATTAATTTGTATCAGAAGTTTTTTTCTCTCTAAGGAAAGTCATGTTTGTCTTTTAACTCTGGATATTTTCCGTCTTTGGAGTTATCTGTAACCGAAAGGCTATAATAACACCTTAAAAAAGAGATGGTAAGAACGCCTCTCACCATGTGCTCCCATAATATAACACAGAATTCCTATTTTAGTGACCAAGTATATCAGTCACTAATCAGTCATTAGTGATTATATTCCTGGATTAGTTACTCGCCTCCATTACAAGTCACAATTCTACCAAGAATAATACATTAGGGATAATTTGTTATCACTAATCCAAGTAACTATAATTGCAGGGTAAGATTCCTATGTGCATTCCAAACATGAATGTTTCAGTGACTACATGTATCATTATTCGCTAGTAATTTGGTAAAACCTATTACCTAGTCACTCTAAAAACACCTAACACATGCCTCGTGCAGTGACTAATCATTTTGTGAATAACATAGAAAGTCATTCCAAAATCCAAACTATGAAGACCAAAGTATTACAAAATACCTACGTCACTACTAGTGATGGACCGGGACTGGTCGGACCGGCCCGGTTCCCAGCCCGGACCGCCACTGTGTGTTACCGGACCGGCCCGGTTTCCTGGGACCAGGACCGGGCCTAGGACCCGACCCGGGGGTGTTTTGGGGGTGGGCTCGGGCTGCAGCCCTCTTGGAATGGTTTGGGTAAGAGGCACGTTGGGCCAGGTGATTCGGGGGTGTTTGGGGGTGGGGTTAGAATTAATAAGCAAAAAAAAACTATATATAGTACCCGGCCCAGTCCCGGAACATAGCTGGGCCGGTATCGGGCCTCCATTTCCCAAACCCGGTCCCGCCCTTAGCCAGACCTGGTCCCGACCCGAGACCGGTCCATCTATGCCTGGACTCGGGCCGGTTCGGGCCCGCTTCGGGCCTGGGCCCGGCCGGGCCTCGGGCCAGGAAAGGGAGGCCCGAGCCCGAACCGCCGGTGGCCGGTTCCGGTCCCGGTTCCGGGCCAAACCGGGCCGGGCCGAACCGGCCCAATAATTTTTTTTTTTTTTTGTTCTCCTATTTAATCCCCTACCCCTCCCCCTCAACCCCAAACCATCCCAAACCACCTCAAATGGCCCAAAATACCTAATCCAACCTAAAACTTAAAAAAATTTCAAAAAAAAAAAAAAATTAAAATCCGGCCCGGACCGGGCCCGAACCGGCCGGGCCGGTTCACCAAAACCTGGGCCCGGGCCCGAACCGCCCAGCAGCCGGGCCGGGCCGAACCGAACCGAGGGACCCACCGGGCCCCGGGCCGGGCCAAACAGTAACCGGGCCGGGCCGGTTCCGGGCCGGGCCGCCCGGCCCGAGTCCAGCACTAGGTCCATCCCTAGTCACTACTCACTTCCCATATATTTGTGTCTATTACTACTGCTCGTTTTCCAGGATCAACTACTTCCAGGCGCCAGCAATGAAGAATGCATTCAACTGCTACATAGAATTTATAATCAAAATGATTTTGTTTTGTATAAAATCAACGGAAATTGTTCTAAATAGGACTAATGAGTTCCTAAAAAGCACAAATAGGACTATTACTTTTAAATTTCTCTAAATAGGACTAAACATTGATTTTCTACCATAAATACCCCTAAGAGTATTAATTCATAATGAAATGCTTTAATTCATAATAAAATCATAAAAAACGTAAAAAATATTTTAAAAACGTAAAAAAATTATAAAAAATTTATAAAACATTTATAAAATAAAAAAATTAATTTTTTATTTTTTTAATTTTTAAAAAAAAAATAATAAAAAATAGTAAAAACCCATAAAAAATGAAAAAAATATGGATACCTTTCCCACCGCCTCCCGCCGCCTCCCAGCAGCACCACCTCCGATTGGTGAAATTTCTTCCACTTTTGGTAAAAAAAATGCCATATTTTTCTGAAAATGCCAAAAAGATGGCATAATTACTCTTCAATATGCCAACATTTTCATTGAATATGCCATCATTATGGCATTATTTAAAATGTTGGCATATTTTTCTCCGGTGATGGGAGTTGGTGGTGCTGGGGGTGGCAGGGGTGGTAATGTTTTTTTTTTAATTTTATGATTTTTTTTTTATTTTTTTTATTTTTTTTTTAAAAAATATTTTTTTTATTTTTTTTAAAAATATTTTTTATTAATTTTCTTTTATTTTTTTACGATTTTTAGTATTTTTTTCGATTTTTATAAATTTTTTTATGATTTTATTATTAATTAAAACATTTTACAAGTTACAAGGGTATATTTGTCCAATCACACATAAATAGTCCTATTAAGGGAATTTAAAAAATGTAGTCCTATTTGTGCAATTTTGCCACTTTTTAGTCCTATTTAGGGAATTGACTCTAAAATCAATCACTTTGTCTCTCTCTCTCTCTATAGTGAGAAATGACTCCCAAGAAAGAAATGAGAATAAACCAGGACCGTTTGACAGTATTATGTAAAACTGAATTGCATTTGGTGAAACTGAAATGTGCATTAGGTGAATTGAAATGTGTAGAAAAAAAGTTAAACTCAAATGTGCATTAAATGAAATTAAAATGTGTGGAAATAAAGATACCAAAATGCCACCACATTGTATATGTTATTATGTACATTTCAATTTTATCTAATGTACATTTCAGTTTCACCTAATGCACAATTCAACTTAACATAATGTCATTGTGTCATGCTCTATGTGCTGCTCATTTCAATTTCGCCTAATGCATGCACACTTCAGTATCATCTAATGCACATTCAAAATCACATAATACAATCCATCAGTCCAAATTTGTTTTCATTTCTCTCCTAATATCATTTTCTCATTTGAACCGAATTGTATACAATATACACACTAGTGTTATTTACTAAAAAAGAGTGTTTTGTATTAAATGTGAGAAATAAGAATGTATCACAACTATCGGATTCGACTATGTTACAATAGAAGAGTTTTACGTTGCACAGGAATATGCAACCATACAAGGTGACATTTTTATATATACTTTTGAAAAATCTTTATTACACCTCTCTCATGCAATATGAAGCTGTTTTAGTGCAACATCGCCAATTCCTAGGGCAATATGAAATTGTTTTAGTGCAACATCGCAAAATATAAATCCTAGTGCAATATGAAGTTGTATTAGTGCAATATTGTAAATCCAATTGTTGAAATTCAATTCATTCCCATCTCAAACATTAGATGCATTTCACACATGAAATAAAATCTATACAAATTCAAGTGGCACAATTAGATGGTTCAATAAATAGGGAGTCAACACATCAATAAGCATATACCATTGAATGTAGAGAGGGGGGGAGGGGGGGGGGGAAGGCGCCCCCACCCGGATGGTGACGGTCGTCTTTTTGCATTTCGTTGTCACCCTCATCACGAACGGTCCTCACTACGGTCACCTCATCTTATAATGGCTGGCCATCATCGTCGTCGCCAAAATCTTATGACCAACGCTCAGCGTCGTCGCCCTCATATCACAACGGGGCTAAGCCAAATGATGATTGTCAACTTTATTCATTACTATTGTCTCCATCGGGAAATGAATATATAATTTGATATATATTCAAAATAAAATTAAAAGTGCATGTCAAATTTGCAATACTATTTAATTTTGGCGAAATTCACAAGAATAATCCCTACTTTTATGAGTTCTACAAGAATAATCCGTACTAAGAGTGTCTATAAAAATAATATGTACTAGCAATAGTGTCCATAATAATAAATTAGAATGAATTCAAATTAATGTCCATTTATTACTCTCAACCCCTACCTCCACTTTTCCATTCACGACTCTCCACTTCGATTCACACTTTGATGTTTCAATCTAGAGAGAACCACACATGGCAGAAATTATTTTGATATTAAACAAGTTTTAGTTTGAATTTGTCCCGAAACGAAGAGTCGAGGGAAGAAAAGTGGGAAAAAGGGTTGTGAGTATTAAACGTACATTAATTTGAATCGACCCCAATTTATTCTTATGAACACATTTGCTAGTTCGGATTATTTTTGTGGACAGTGTGAGTAGGGATTATTGTAGAATCTCCGAAAGTATGAATTATTCTTAGGGAAAAGGGCCAAAAAGAACACTAAGGTTTTTAATGAATCCCGGATAGGACATTCAGGTTTATGGTGAACCAAATAAACACAAATTTCTACTTTTACGTTTACTTTTAACCACCAACTAACATTTGTCGTTCCAACTATTGTTTCCCGGTTAAAACTTAAAAGCCACTTTCCCTACGTTTAAACACTCGACTCTTCTTCGTAATAACCCCTCCATTCCGCCCCCACTTCTCATTCTTCCTGGCTTACCCATCTATTCTCTCTCAATTATCTATTACTCGCATTGAACTGTTGAAATCCCCAAGCCCAGATGCAAATTCTTGTTCATCTAGGTCTGCTGCTCACTATGTGTAGTGCTCATGAGCTTTGTAGGAGCCTCTTGGCCTACTTTATTGGGGGTTTGGTGATGGACTGCTTCAATTTTTATAAGTGCTCATGAGCTTTGTAGGGGCCTCTTGGCCTACTTTATTGGGGGTTTGGTGATGGACTGCTCCAATTTTTATA